ATCGATGAATGAAAGTAGTTTAAGTAGATTTGGAGTTATACATGATTGAATTAAAGTTCTCTATTTTACTCTTTAAGCTTTACATGGCTTATTTGTAAATCCAGGAAAGAACTACTGTGATAATAAATGTGATGATGCATGTATGGCAACTAGCACTCAAAAAAACAGTTAAAAAGAAAAAAGCAGTATTTCAATCCTGAAATTATGTGTTTATATGCTTTAAATTGGGATCCTAGATAAATATTGGTGGGAAATAAGAACTGAGTGGGAAGAATAATTAGGATTACTGGGTACAGGTAGGAGAAAGGAGTCATTGATAAATTTAAGATTATAGGCTTGATATTTGTTGCATAATGTGTAAAGACAGGAATTAGGATGTTAGAAAGGAGTATTTGGGCTATTGCCTTCCTAGACTCTGTTGTGGCCATGTGCTCTTTGAACTATGGTTGCCGCCATGTTTCCTGGCTTTGGCCCCTTTCACTACCTTGGGGAGTGAATCTCTCCTCTTTCACTCTAATTTACTTGTTAAATAAACTATATTTTCCAATCTAAAAAAAAAAAAGAAAGAAGTTTTGGATTGAGGATACAAGGCTCTTTATCATGAAAGGTAAGATGAGGCAAGTCACGGTGGCTCAAGCCTGTAATCCCAGCACTTTGGGAGGTTGAGGTGAGAAGACTGCTTGACTCCAGGGGTTTGAGACCAGCCTGGGCAACTTGGTGAGACCTCGTCTCTACAATACATCAAAAAATTAGCTGGGCGTGGTGGCGCATGACAGTAGTTCCAGCGACTCAGAAGGCTGAGGTAGAAGGATCGCCTGAGCTCAGCAGGTTGAGGCTGTAGTGGCCGTGAGCAGCCTGCCACTGCATTCCAGCCTGTGTTACAAAGTGAGATTCTGACCCCCCCCCCCAAAAAGGGAAGATTTTCTGGGATGAAGAGAAACAGGATTTCGAGAGGCAAAAATAGAAATTATATATTAGAACGAATGATGAAAGTGAACGAATTAATTCAAATTATATATATTGAGTACTGGGTACTATGAATTTATTGTCCAGTGTGAGCAAACCTATGGTAGTTGTACCAGAATTTTTTTTTTGAGTTGGAGTCTCACTCTGTCACTCAGACAGGGATGCAATGGCATGATCACAGCTCACCACAGCCTCGACCTCAGACAAGCCTTTGTCCTCATCCTTCTGAGTATCCCAGGCTATAGGCAGCAGTCACCACACCAACTAATTTTTTGTAGAGACCAGGTCTTGCTATGTTGCATAGGCTAGACTTGAACTTCTGGGCTCAAGTAATTCCCCACCATGGCCTCTCAAAGTGCTAGGATTATAGGTGTGGGCTACCACACCTGGCCTGTTCCAGGATTTCTTTCTTTCTTTTTTTTTTATTTGAAGTCTCACTCTGTCGCCCAGAGTGGAGTGCAGTGGCATATCCCCGGTCACCGCAACCTCAACCTGCTGGGCTCCAGAGATCCTTCCGCCTCAGCCTTCCAAGTAGCTGGAACCACAGGAATGCGCTACCATCCCTGGTTAATTTTTTATTTATTGTAGAGACAAGGTCTCACCAAGTTGCCCAGGTGGATCTCAGGCAATCCACTTGCCTCGGCCTCCCAAAGTGTTGGGATTACAAGCTGAGCCACCAAACCAGGCCCTGTTCCAGGATTGCTATAAAAGTTTTGGACCAGGCATGGTGGCTCATGCTTGGAATACCCGCACTATGGGAGGCAAAGGCAAGAGAACTGCGTGAGGCCAGGGGTGAGAGACCAGCCCAGGTAACTTGGCGAGACCTTGTCTCTACAATAAAAATAAAGAAAACTAGCTGAGTGTGATGGTGCACGCCTGTAGTTCCAGCTACTTGGAAGGCTGAAGCAGAAAGGATTGCCTGAGCCCAGCTGGTCAAGGCTGCGGTAGCCATGAATGTGCCATTGCACTCCAATCTGAGCTACAGCGTGAGACTCTGACTCAAAAAAAAAGAGTTGTTTTGGGGTAGTTGGGAGGGTGTGTGGAGAGGGGTCTAGGTGGGGAAGGGAATTTGTTTGACTCTGTAATCTCTAGCACTTTAGATCAGATTGAGATGATATCTAAGAGCAGGGAGGGGCACAGATTGAGATAATGGATGGAACTAAATCCCTCAGGCTACCCCTCGACTTTGCCTACAGCCGACACCAACAACTAAACAATCCTCCCTCCATGCCACAGCCACCGGATTACAGGCTTGAGCCCAAGGAGATATTGACTTTAATAGAGCTATAGGATAGCAGCTGAAGCATTTAATTATCCAGGGGAGAATGTTCATTGTGGTGAGAGTAGGTGAGGGAAGGATTTCATTAAAAAGGTATGATTTTACTTGACCCTTATTTATTGCTCTTGAAAAAGGGAATTAATAATCTAAATATAAAAAGTCTTCCAAGACAGAAAAGTAAGAAATCCTAGCAGACCATTCAGGACTTCACTAAGTGGCTGGAGATAAAGGGTCAGTAGTGGCCCAATCATAAGCCTTACATGTCATGCCAAGAGTTCTGAAATTCATCCTGCAATTGATGGGAATTGCTAGAGGATTTTAGTCACAGAAGTGACAATGATAAAACATTATATAATATATGCATTTTTGGAGTAGGAGTCTCATTCTGTCCCCCAGGCTGGAGTGCAGTGGCACAATCACAGCCTCAACCTGCTGGGCTCAGATGATCCTTCTGCCTCAGCCTTCCAAGTAGCTGTAATCATAGGTGTGCCACCACAAATTTTTTGATTTATTGTAGAGATGAGGTATTTCTGCCCCTGGACTCAGGCAATCCTCTTGCCTCCGCCTCCCTAAGCATAAAGCAGAGTAAAAATTTTAAGTTGTCTAAAAAGTAGAAAGAAAAACTGATTTATTGAAGAGATTAGGTCTTGCTATGTTGCTCAGGCTGGTCTCAAACTTCTGAGCTCAAGCAATCCTCTTACTTCTGCCTCCCAAAGTGCTAGGCTTATAGGCGTTAGCCACCACGCCTGGCTTCATTTTTTCATTTAAGAACAATTTCAGACTGGGCATGGTATCTCATACCTATAATCCCAGCATTTTGGGAGGCCGAGGTGAGAGAATTGCCTGAGCCCAAGGGTTCCACACCAGCCTGGGTAACTTGGCAAGACCTTATCTCTACAATAAATAAGGAAAAAAAGTAGCTAGGCATGGTGGTGCGTGCCTGTAGTTCCAGTTATTTGGAAGGCTGAAGCTGAAGGATTACTTGAGCCCAGCAGGTCGAGGTTGCGGTGGCCATAAGCATGTCACTGCACTCCAGCCTGGCAATAGAATAAGACTCCAATTTAAAAAACAAAAACAAACTGGTTGGTCAGGTGCGGTGGCTCATGCCTATAATCCCAGCACTTGGGGAGGCCAAAGCTAACAGATTGCTTGAGCCCAGGAGTTGGAGACCAGCCTGGGCAACACAGCGAAACCTCATCTCTACAATAAATCTAAAAAATAGCGGGGCGTGTGGGGTGCGTCTGTAGTCCTAGCTACTCAGGATGCTGAGGTAAAAGGATCGCCTGAGTTTAAGAGGTTGAGGTTGCCATGAGCCCCGACCGTCAGAAAGAGAAAGAAGCACGCTGAGCGTTGACTGCTTGGTGTGACAGACATTTTGCTGAGTGTAGATGGCAGTCCCAGTTTCTAGAGCTGATAGTTGTATGTGTGACTCAAAACCTAAGCAATGAACCCATGATGCCAGCATGGAAAGTTCCATTGCTACTGGGCCTTAGTTGTCTGGTTAAAGGTTAAACAATGTTGTGGAGACGCTCAGAAGCAAAATGAAAAGGGGATCAGTATATTAATAATAACGAGAAGTGACTGTCATTAAGGGTTTGCTGTAGTTCCTCTAGGATAGAAACCCTTAGCAAATCCCACCCTTCAACACCTGAGGGTGTAATGGAAGACTGCAGATACTCAGGAGCAATCTAAAGTGTACTGAATCACAATGTGTAAGGCCAGGGCCCAGAAATCTGCAGTTTAATAACGAATCTTCCCAGGCCATTGTTATGTATACTTAAAGCTGATAAACCACTGGTCCCTCCCGCCATTTCTCACTTCACTTTCACTTGATGTAGGTGCTATTATTAGCCCTATTTGATAGACGAGGAAATTGAGGCATAGAAAGGTTAATGAACATGCTAAAGTCAAACAGAACCAGGGATGGAATCTAGACCTGCTTGAGATACAGCTCTTAAGCCTGAAGCCCAGCAGTACGCTATCCCCTTTTGCTAAATGATTTGTCGCTAATACCTCAACAAGCACTGAACTTGGAGAGTGAAAACTGTGTGGGGGAGGCACCCTAAATTCATTCCGGTAAATGTGGGCAATTCACTCCCATTACGAATTTCAAGTCCCTCGCCTTAGGCAACACACCACCTGATGGTGACCTGGGGGAGGGGCGGGGGAGGGCAGGGGGGTTGGAGAGGGAGGCGATCGATAACTCCGGCGCGCGGCTGCCTGCTGGTTGGATTGGCTCGAGCCTCTCCCGCCAGGCCTGCCCTACTCCCGCGCGTTCCTGGGCCCGCCCCCGCCGCCATCTTGGTCTAGGAGGGCGCGGGCGGCACGCGTGAGTAAACAGCCGGAGCCAGGAAAAGTCGCGCTCCGGCGGCATTCGGGAGCCGAGGGCCCGCGGCGGAGAGGACGCAGTCCGGATCTTCGTGTGTGGGGATCCACCTCGGGGTCACAGTGGTAGGCCGCGGGGAGCCCTCGGTCTGGCGCATCCTCCGCCCCCTCGCGGCGAGACGCCTCGCCCGCTGCGCTTCTCCCGCCCCCCCGCCGGTCTCCTCCCTCTGTTGAAAGCTGCCCGGGAAAGTGGTGGCGGGAGCGGGCTTAGGCCCCAGCGTGGCGTGGGCTGGGATGCGCGGTGCCGGGCGCAGGAGGAGGTCAGGGCCTGGGCTCTGTGCGCCGGAGGCTCGGGGTGTGGCCGCGGCGAGGCCCGGGGCGGGCGGGCGGGCGAGCCGGACCCTCTCCCGCTTTGCGGCCGCGGGGGGCTGCTTCCCTCGCTCACGGCGTCTTTGCTTTTCCGGTCCCGGCCTTAGGGTGGCGGACATGACGGCCAGGGGTCAGAGCCCCCTCGCGCCGCTGCTGGAGACCTTGGAAGACCCTTCCGCCTCCCATGGAGAGCAGACTGACGCTTACCTGACCCTCACCAGGTGAGGCCCGCCGGGGGTGCGGGGGCCGCGCGGGCGGGTCTGGCAGAAAGAATGTGGCTGGGAGGGGCGCGCCGAAGGTGTGTGAATTCCAGAAGTCTGGCAGGTGCGGGAGCGCCCGCGGCGGGTCGCGTTGGGGGGTGGCGGAGATGCGTGCCGAGCGAGGTTCCGGGGGCCGCGGCCGCGCGGAACGCGTTGGCCCCCGGGGAGGCAGCACGTGTGTCTTGCCAGCGAGGGCCTCTTGCAAGTTTTGGTGGGAAGTGGCTGTAGGAGTGACTCCGCGACAGCCGCCGATGTGTTGGGAACGGCGGCCACCCAGGGTTGGTTTTTTTTAATAGCGCAGTAACCTTTCTTTTAAGTGATTGCAAAATGCGTCCACGTACTTCTTCAGGAAATTTGTTAAACCCTCGTATACGCCTTTGTGAAGTTTGATAAATCGTTAGTAAATTTGTAACTTGGTCAGGGCTCGGTGTTCATGCTCACATAGTCAGACTGTCACAACTTGTATACACTGGATGTAAGAGTTACTGCGAGGGTTTTTGGGTGCTTAGTTCTGATGTGTGTCGCGTTATGTTTTCTGTATATCCTTAAGCACTTTGTGGACTGGGTCAATTTGTTTGCGGGGGTTTAGCTCTAGAAAGTAATCTTTAAAAAGTTTATACAGATGGGCTGTTTATACAGATATTGGCTCATGCCTGTAATCCCAGCATTTTGGGAGGCCGAGGCGAGAACACTGACAGAGCCTGTGGGTTCGAGACCCGCCTGGGCAACATGGCGAGACCTCATATCTACAATAAACCAAAAAAATTAGCTGGGGTGGTGGCGCGTGCCTGTAGTTCCAGCTGCTTGGAAGGCTGAGGTGGAAGTGGCAGCGGCCGACAGCACTACATTCCAGCCTGAGCCACAGAGTGAGATTCTGACTCCAAAAAAAAAAGTTTATACAGTTATTTTAAGGAGTGAATACAGTGCTTGTTCCTGTGACTTGTGTAAACTTACGTTCTTTCTGCTTTTTAAGTCGTATGACTGGAGAAGAAGGAAAAGAAGTAATTCTCGAGATTGAGAGAAAACTTCCTCAGCTGTACAGTGTTTTAAAGGTGTGTATCTGTTTCTTAAATAGTTTCTCACTTTTGGTGGTTTTAAAAAGTTTTGCCAGTTGCCTCATAGAAACGTTGAATGTAAAATTCAATAACAGCAATAATCATGACTGATTGTAGTACTGTTTATTGGTTACTTGAAATTTTTTAGGTCCTCTCTTAATTACCTTACTTTCTCTCACTTAATTCTCCATATCACCATGATATCGTTTTTAGTCTCCATTTTGCAATGAAGAAATTGGTTTAATTTGCCTTAAGCTGCCCTGATTCTAAGCCTGAGCTTTTAACTTGAAGCAGTGATCAGGGTTAATACTTTCCCTCCAGCCAGGTGCAGTGACTCATGCCTGCAATCCCAGCACTTTAGGAGGCAGAGGCAAGAGGATTGCGTGAGCCCAGGGGTTTGAGATCAGCCTGCGCAACTTGAGGAGACCTCGTCTCTACAATAAGTCAAAGAATCAGTCGGGCATGGTGGCACACACCTGTGGTTCCAGCTACTTGGAAGACTGAGGCGGAAGGATTACATGAACCCAGTAGGTTGAGGCTATGGTGGCCCTGAGTGTGCCACTGCACTCCCATCTGGATGACAGAGTGAGACTCCAACGCAAAGAAAAATAAATGTATATATATTTTTCTTCTTTTTGAGAATGTACTTATAAGTAATTCTAATGCCTTCAGTCTACTCTGTAGATAGCATTCATTTTTTAATCTTTATTCATCTTCAGTTTTTTTCTACAACCATTGTGTTAACTCTTTTGCTTGTTTTGTTTTGTTTTGTTTTGTTTTTTGAGTTGGAGTCTCACTCTGTCGCCCAGACTGGAGTGTACCGCAGCCTCGCCTGCTGGGCTCCAGCGATCCTTCAACCTCAGGCTTCCAAGTAGCTGGAACTACAAGCGCATGTTACTACGCCCGGCTAATTTTTTTGATTGCCCGGGTAGGTCTTGAACCCGTGGGCTCAGGCAATTCACTCACCTCGGCCTCCCAAAGCACGGGATTACAGGCTGAGCCACCAAGCCCTGCCTGAGTTCTTATTCTTTTTTTTTTTTTTTTTTTTTTTTTTTT